GCCACCCCGGCCCAAGGCAGAACCGGGGATGGAACTCAGGCCCTTGCCCACTGCGCCACCCCCAGCTCAAGGCGGAACCGGGGGTGGAACCTCAGGCCCTTGCCCGCTGCGCCACCCCAGCCCAAGGTGGAACCGGGGATGGAACTCAGGCCCTTGCCCACTGCGCCACCCCAGCCCAAGGTGGAACCGGGGATGGAACTCAGGCCCTTGCCCACTGCGCCACCCCCAGCCCGAGGGTGTGTTTTATATGATACTGTTACATTTTGAAAAATGAAAACGTGTGGATTGTGGACAGTTAAGTGGTCAATAACTTAACTATTTCATAGATATTTTGCTTTTATTTCATTAATTAATAAACTAGCTGTTGATCAGGTGACAGCCAGGTCATGGTAGGTCACACTAAGCCTAATCAATATGGGTACAGGTAGCAAATAATTGTAATGGTTCACGCCAGGAGCACTTGTACTTTAGAATAGCGTGCCCCTGAGAGGTGAAGTAGGAGGCCTGTGTCAGGAGCTGGACGTGGCCGAGGGTAGGCTGACTACAGCTGTGCGGAGGGGTGGGCCCTGACCGCGTGCGCTGCCGTAGGGCCACCCCTGTGCGCAGGAATGCACAGGAAAGCAAAGGGCTGTAAAACTTAGCACATGCACAGTGGTCAGTGTGAAGGCAGGAGATGGGGTGGAGACCACAGGGAAGGGGTGACGCGAGGCAGAACCTAGGGTGCGTGGATTGCTGGCGGGTTTAACAAGAGAAAAGAGACGCACTTTATGCACCTAGAATCTCTGTCTTACTCAAAATGAATGAAAATTTTACTGAAGAAATAAAAATCATTTTAAACTCTGAAAAGATGCTTTCTAGCAGCATTCCCCAACCCATTTGGCACCAGCAATTGGTTTTGTGAAAAGTAATGTTTCCGGAGAGCAGTACTGCGGTACAGCTTCAGGCTGATTCTAAGGAAATGCAGCCCAGAGCCCTCCACGTTCCTCTCATGGCGGGCTTTCTGCTCTTAGGGGATCTGCTGCCCTTGCTGATCTGATCCGACAGGAGCCATGAGGAGGGGAGGCTGGGGTGCGGGGCAGCTGTCAGTGCAGACGGAGCGTTGCTCGCAAGCGGCCTCTTGTCTGCAAAGCATATAGAAGCTGTGTGCACTGGCAAGTCTGTGTATTTAAAATCACATGAGAAGAAGGCACATTTATAAGCACAAAAATAATGGCTGTCAGCAGGGTGAAAATGAAAGAACAAATGCAGGAAAGGTAAGCTCCTTGTTTTGAATCAGGAGAAGCAACTGGGAATTAAAATCAAAATCCCCAATCTCCGAAGAATCCCTATAGCCTTTGTTAAAAGCAGGGCCGTGTTCCATGTCAGACGTCCTGCAGAGTTGGGCAGCGCAGGTGGATGTCACAGTTTCTGGGCTCACGTGCACGGCACGTGGCTCCAGTGGTGCCCAGGAGGAAGACGTGGAGAGGCTTGGCAGGATCCACAGCGCTGGCATCTGCCGCGCCGCGCCTTGCTTATGAGGCGTGCGTTAGACAGGGAGAGTCACAGTTGACGCTGGGGAGTTCTGTGGGCCCTAGGCTGTCATGAATGATCGCAGCGGGCAGTGGTCTGTCTTGTTCCCAAATCGTAGTTGGAGCTTTTTCTCTTAGAATTATTCAGTAATTTATTTTTGCCAATCTAATTTTTATATATCAGCAAATAGTTGATTCTTTGGTTTCTTATACCAATTATTGATCTGCTGGATTTTTCCATGCAGGGAGAGAAAGGTCCCCAAGGCCCTGCAGGGAGAGACGGTGTTCAAGGTCCTGTGGGGCTCCCAGGGCCAGCTGGTCCTGCGGGCTCTCCCGGAGAAGATGGAGACAAGGTTGGTGCTCAGAGGCCCTGTGTGCGCAGTTTGTGAGAAAGCACGATTTCTTCCCTAATCATTCTGTAATTAGCATCTCTAAGATTTAGATCCCAATGGAAAACTACCTTTTGTGAATTTTGCTGCACCATCCATATGCTCAGAAGTATTGTTTTAGAGGTTAAGCATTAGTTGGGCCTATATTAAATAATATATAAGAAAAAAAATGAATAAGAAAACAATAGTAACGGACATTTTTTTTTTTTGCTGAAATGTACATAACAAAAATATAATGCACATATTTAGCTTCCATATCTAAGGTACTGCACGTTAAGCCTTACAAATGAGCCGCATACTCACTTGATGTGCTCCCTTTCCTAAATTATACAGCATTAAACTTTTTATTCAGTGTGTAGGGCTGTGCCAAATTACATGTATTTTAAATATTACAGTATGTTATAAAACATTTGTGAATCAGCAGTCTTATAATGTGTCATTTAATATTTAGAAAAGGAGAAAAAATACTTTTTGAGTAATACATGATTATTTGCCTGTAAATCAACATACTTTTATTATCGGTTTATAATAATGGTATAAGAGACAAATTTATTTTCATTAATTTTATTGAGAAACAAATATCAATGAGACAGTTTCATAACAGATTAGTAGGACAGTTTCAATAATTCATACATTGCATATTGTTGTCTTCGTAGTGGTTATTCATAGTACAAGATGCAGACAGGATATCTTGTCCTAACACTCTTAGTACAAATCTTTCTTCTCATTGAATTAAGAGAAAGTAACTGTGTATCTATCCTATTTTGTGTATACAGATACAAAATGGTCCTTCATTTGTATCCTTTTTTGTTTAGTTTTGTCAGTGAAGGGTATTCCATTGCCATTTAAATATAGTAGGTGCATGAATTCAGGAAAATAATTCAATATAGTCCAGTATTTAAATTATGTGTCAGTGTCGGTATTCTGCAAAAATGAAACTGACTTGATTTGTCTGTGTATTGGCCAGTACCAGAAAGTCAGGAGCAGAAAGACCCGGAGCTTACACTTGAAGCAGGGTCACTGAGCACTAAAGTTCATTCATGTTTAGCGCTAATGAGATGTTGCAGGGGCACGTGGGACGAGTTAGAGATTAATTTAAATCTTTCAAATACAGGGTGAAATTGGCGAACCAGGACAAAAAGGCAGCAAGGGTGACAAAGGAGAAAATGTGAGTTGATAATTACTTACTGAGACTGGTTCTTTATTTAATACCTTTTGCTGTTTCCATGGATATTTTCCTGTAGTACTACTTGGTTAACTAGCCAAATGCTTTAATATAAGTATTTTATTATCTTTGGTGGTTGCATAATTCTGAACACTGTAATTCTGAGGCTTTATATTTATGTGGTTAAGTAACATCTGATATTGACAAGTTTTTAAAATCATCTCCACTTTAGCAAATAAGAGTAAAAATATAAATAAATAGCTTCTTTTTCCACGTGATTATGAAAAAATATACGTTTGTGTATCTAAATAAATACAACTGCTAAATTTTATGGGACTGCAGATTAATAAATATTTTCTCATGTATGGTACTTGTTTTGCTTAGCAAATAATAAATCCATCAAAATAAGTTGTTTCTCACTCAAATACCATAGTCACTCTTGCCTCTTAAGAGCCTTGTCATACTTGTCCATTTTAAATGTGACTCTAGTAATCTGAAATTTTTCCTTCATTTTGTATCAACCACGGTTGGTGATGATAGCTACTTCAGAACTTTAGCCTCTATAGATATTTACTTTCTAAAGTTCTTTTGATTTGTCTTTAAGTGTTCATGTATCTTCTTTCCAGAAGGAATCCAAAGTGGGAAAGTGATGTCCATTTGTATATCTTTTATGTAGTACAGTGATTTATGTATCATTCCCGGCGGTTATTGCCAGCAAACAGTTCCGTTTCTGCCCTTGGCTCACCCATAATTCTGACACCCACTTAGCTGAAATGACTGAATATCTTAACTTACAACGTTGAGAAGAGATCTTATTAGGACGGACTTGCAAAATCCTGAGTTGAATGTTTCTAGCAAAGAAAAATGTACAAACGTTACAAAACAACTTGGAGGTAATTGCATTAAAGCACACATATTTGTCTAATTAAAAATAACATGAATTTAAGAAGAGCCATTTTTGAAGAAATGTTATTTCTTCTTTAAAAGCTCTAAGTAAATGTGCCTGGTTGCCTAGCTGCTAAGCCATCAATCGTTGTACGTTTCTGTCTTAAGACCTCGTAGGTTTTGTGCAGGTCTCAGGGCACCAAAGTGCTTGTCGTCTCTGTGGGTCTTCATACTATAATTTACAATAAAGACATTTTAAGTATTCTTATATTGATTTATTTAAAATAATAGCAAATACATTTGATGAATAATAGCTGTATTTCCTCAAAGCAAATATGTACAGTACAAAGAGTAGCATGTATTATTTGTTTCTACCCTAATAGAAAAAGCTGTGTTCTCAAATTTGTTTCTCAGGCAAGTCTACAGTGACATGTTGTTTTGATTTAAATCCAAACTCACGCAGATACATAATTAGAAAATGGGTAAATGTCTAAAAAATGTCTTAAATTTGGATATTCTTTGATTACACACAGAAATTTGCTAAGTGCTGGTTTTTCATAAAGATCATCTTTAATATGAATTCTGATATCAAACTAGTAAACTCTTTGTATTATTTCATTAAAATATTTCAGAATGGGAAGCTGTGAAACCCATAGTGAGAAATACAAGATTTCAAAATTTCTAAATTACCTTGAAAGTTTAAATTTTATCACTGATACAAAATGCAGTCAGTTGTTTCCTTTGAAGTCATTGCCTTGTTATATTTTCAGTAATATTCCTGCCAGATTCCCAAGTCTAAATAATAAATTTTTATGATTATTCTCTTTCAAATGGAAATAATATTCCATGTAAAATTACTGGTTGCGATTTCAGTTTAAGCTGTAGCCTGGCCAGCGATGTGACTTCAGTGTAATGCTAGAGAGCTTCGTGCATCTTTGCGAGAGTTGGCCGCGCCATTATCAGAAGACTTGTACATAGTACAGAAGGCGTTTACGTGGTGAAGAAGGCGTTCAGGCGCTTCACGCCGAGCGTGGCCGCCTGTGCGCCTGCGAGCAGCAGCGCCTGGTGACGAGCGCCGCGCGATGCTGCTGCGCTGCCGGCTCACGGGCGCTAGGCCCGGCAGCTGCCCCGGCTGCCCTCGCACCTGACTGCGGGCGTCTGTGCTGGGTGCAAGGACAGTAATGTCTTAGAGTTTTGGGGTCGTAGTTCTGAGCTTGAAGAAATACGAGTGGCTCTCAGGTATTTTTGGACAACATTTTCATAATCTTTGCTTCAGTGACTTCTTTAATTTCTGCAATAAGCCCCAAGGACTTATTAATATGTTCCTAACATAGTAAGTTAATGAATTAATAAGAAAATAAGGTAGCTAAGAAATACCTGTGCACGTAAGACTCATAATGACTTGTGCGATCTTGTGTTCAAAGTAAAGACTTACCTTTACTGTAACAGTTGGCATGTGTGTACATACATTTTAAATTTTCCTAATCATATTTTATCTATATAGAATCCTCAGAATCCTGATGTTTATTAAAAGTTAGTATACAAAAAATATGTTGCTTCTGACTTATACATATTTCATGAAAAAACTCATGTTTTAAACTTTTTCAAATATGAATTTTCAGGCCGGGGAGATGGCTCAGTGGAATAAGTGCTTCCCTGGCAAGCACAAGGGCCTGAGTTCAATCCCCGGTTCCACCAAAAAAAAAAAAAAAAAAAAAAAAATTCAAATATGAATTTTCAGCATGATTTAGGTTAGCATACAATTCCTTTTTAAGAACTTTGCAATCTTCAAGATTTAGTTGTCAAGTTAAAATTGACTTCATAGATGAATGTATGAGTCTCCAAGTTATAAAATAAACAGTTGACCTGTCCAGATGCAAATGACTCTGAAATAAGTTTGCAATCAGCCAATGGTTTTGCTATATAGAATTGAGATTTTCCTGGATTGTTGCCAAATGCCTGATCTTTACCTCTCTGTAGGGTCCTGCTGGTCCCCCTGGCCTCCAAGGGCCAGTTGGCGCCCCTGGGATTGCTGTAAGTACTCACTGTGCGCACAGACCCTGAGCCTCACTGCTTCGTCATTGTAGTTATGAGTCAGCACACAGCCAGTGGCGTTCGTGAGGCAGTGCCTTTGTTCCTGCGCTTGACGCTGAATCGTATTTAAGTTAATGTAGCTAAACAGATGGCCTTGATGAGCAAAAACAATGTGACTTGATTTGAAAATAGAGCATAGCTAGTTGAAAATACTCAATGTACAATAAATTTTGAACAATATTTTTCTCGTTAGGAATTTGTTATTCCATTTTTAATGTTTGATCGTCAGAATCAACCACAGCCTGAAACAAAAAAAAAATGTTAGACAAAGAGTGGCATATTTACAGTAAAAGAATGGAAATTTTAGTCTACATTTTGCTTGGTTATTCTCAAATAAATTAGCTTTTAATGATTTAGAAAGGGCAGCATGCTTCCATAGTACGTCCTTATGGCTTTGCTGTATGTGATAATTCCCTTACTGTTTGTTCTCTAGGGGGGCGATGGTGAGCCAGGTCCCAGGGGACAGCAGGGCATGTTTGGACAAAAAGGCGACGAGGGTGCCAGAGGTTTCCCAGGACCTCCTGGTCCCATAGGTCTCCAGGTAAGGTGTTCTCAGACTGCTCACACTAGATTTCTCTCTCGCCCTAACTTTCATTGGTGGAGGGGAAACAAAACTTTTTTGTCTTTCTCTGAAGGAACAATTTTTAGTCAGAATGAGTATTTTATTTTATTTATATGTACATCTGAGCTTCAAATTTTTTCTTTTTTTTAAATCAAATTTCATTAATTTGTGCTCACTTCGGCAGCACATATACTAAAATTTCATTAATTTTTCTGAAGAAAATAAGCCTGGTTCCGGTACCTGCTATTCATCTGCACCTTAGGTATCACATGTTTTTCTTTATTCCCATTTTGTTTAAAAAATGAATTACAGTTTTGCAGATAGATAACTAAAGCTAACGTATTAGAGTCATTCTTTAGTATGTCTCAGAGCAGGAATGTTTATAATTCAGATGACTATCGAAGTTTAAAAGCATTTGGAGAAATTACAAGGTGTTAATAGCAATTGCCAACCGCAGATGTTCGGCAACAGTAGGAAAATTTTAAAAACCAGTAGTAAAAGATTTACTTCTAGTAAGTAATAGATTACTAGTAAAATAACTTATTTCAGAATTATAATTTATACTTTGTATAAAGCATTTTGGGGAGAAGAAATAGGACAGTGAGAAGCACTGCAAGCTGTGGCTCTGTTGCTGAGACACATCTTACGAGGGGTTAGGCGGACGCGGGCAGCACCCACCTCCTGGGGCCCGCGGCGTGGCGCTCACTGCTGCGTGGAGGCCGGAGGGCCCAGGGCTCCGCTGCTGCCTTCGCGCCCTGCAGGCGGTGCCACGCGTACACCTGAGGGCCCTTCGGCAGGTCACAGAGCTGTGTTGTAGGTAACTTACAGGCACCAGGTGGGTATTACACACGTTAGTGACCTCAGAGAGATAAATTAAGTCATCTAGTTCAGTGTACCTGAGAGTTTGTGATGATCTAAAAAAGTATATAAATATAAAATTTTTATAATTTAATTCCCTATTTTCATGTGTTCTTATACATATCGATTTTTATTTTATAATAAAATTATAAAATATTGGGGTTTGATTCTTCCATCTATAGTTGTAGAAATTAATTATAAATACAATATAATAAATTATCATATAATTATTGTTAAGTATTAAATGGACATTTATCAGTACACATATTCTAATTTCCCACTTTATTTTAATGCAAAATAGTTTTTATACTTGCACAGTGGAAAAAGACTATGTTCATATTTGTTATGTGTAACTATTATTGTTAACCAATTAAAAATGAGCAGTCATGAATGTTACTTATCGATATGTATAAGAACACATTTGAAAACAAAGGCATTGAAATTGGATGGCTTATAGATAGTGTATTATCGAATTTTGTGAGTTTTATTTATTTAATTGTTATGAATTCTTTGAATTTTCACGTAGGAATGTAGTACCTATGGTTAAAAGATGGTTCGCTATAGCTTATGGTTACAAATAGTCAATGAAAATTATTTTCACAAAGAAATTATTCTTTGATGAGAATGACTCAAGAAATCGTCATTTAAAAATTGATTGTATTTTAAAAAATTGATTGTATTCTCCACAACTACCACTTTAAATTAGAAAACTAAACAGAAGCTAACGCAACTAACCTGCTCACAGAGAGTTCTATATCTGTCAGTTGGGTCTTCATGAAAAATAAATATTAGCAATTACATGTGTATAAATAATAAGGAGCCACCACTTACAGTAAATTACTTTGTATTCAGCCTATTCACTGTCTGCTGGCATAGGAAAGTGTGTGTCAGAGTTCCTAACCTAAGTTCATCTTTGGTGTTATCAATAAAGAGAAAAAATTCATTGATTCAAAACCAAAATTTTAGACTGGGCACAGTGGTGCACACCTGTAATCCCAGCACTGGGGAGGCTGAAAACAGAAGGATCATTACGAGTCTGAGCTGTGTAGTGAGATGCTGTACCAAAGCAATAAAAAGTAAAAGAATACAAGTAAATAAATATTTTTTTAAAAAGAAAATTTCTCCATGCATTAATAACTCCCTAGTAAAAGTTTAGGACACATTAAGACTGCTTAACACTGTACTACCATTACGCACATTTAGTTCCTTGCAGCAAGAGAATTTGTCTCATTATGTCTCAATTACTTTTATTTTTTTTTATTTTTTTTTCAACAAATAATACACTGCATATATTCTTCTTAGTGGTTAATTGCTGTACAAGATGCGGACTTGTGATCCTATTTACAAACACCATTAGAACAAATCATTCTATTCATTAACAGAATGTAACTATATATCTATCCCAACGACTTTGAATACACAGATACAAAATGGACATTCATCTGTATACCCCATTTTTTCTAAGTTCCGTTATTGAATATTATAGGTGTGTAAACTCAGAAAAATATTCTAAAAGAGTCCAGTAGCCCATAATAGCATTGGGTCTTCTGTTTAACTGGCAATGTCAGAAATTATTGACCTGAGTCCCCCACAGCTCAACTTAACAGCATGGCTTTATTTCTTATAATTTCGTCTTCATACTTTTCTGCTGGATGGTTAAGACCAAGGTAAAGCAGGACCTATGCAACAAGAGTTGTAGCTTTTTGGTCTGAGAAGGTCAGTGAAATGCCCTCAGGATTTGTTCAATTACTTTTAATAATAAGAACATTCTATTTTAATCAAACTCAAACTATATTGAAAAGTAATTTTAAAAAATTACTGTTTGGAATTTCCTTAAACTGATAGGAATAATGATGCACAGAAAGAAAATATGCCTGTGCAAAAAAAAAAAAAAAACAAAACAAAAAACCAACCCAAAAGCCTATTAACCAAGGTGCACCTGTCATTCAATGTGTTGGTTTAAATCAGCTCGCTTAGTAAGTACTAAATGTGTTGACCCTGGCAAGTGTGAGGTCATGGTTTAGACTCTTGGTACCAAAAAAGTTGAAATTTGAACAAAATAAATGGGATCTGACTGTTCTGGTATGTGATGTTTGACTAAGTTTTGTATTTAATTTAAAATGCCCATAACTTAAAAAAAATGGTCTTAAAGAAATGGTCTTAAAAATATTTATGCCATTTTTGTTAAACTCCTCTTTTATATTCAAGTATTTAAGTTCCTGTGTTTCATAAATTAAATAGACTCTGAAGATGGCCTAGGAATCTAAAACTTTAGCAGTCACCTTCTGGTAATTTTGGGGCAGACTGAAGAAAAGATACAGAAAGCATTACTTGGATAGTTCTTTCTAAAAAGTTTGCAGTTCCAGAAGTGACTCTCAGAGGATGGAAACAGATCGGAAAGTACAAATAACCATCTCTTTTTAAACATCTTACTTATGTTAAAGAAAAACAAGCAACAAACACACAGAACATGTGTGTGTGCTGTCCATTATGAAGCAGTGACTAAGATTTTCTCATGAAAATGAGTATATGGTATACTTAAAACTTTGAAAATATAGTCACTGAAACAGTCTCCTAACTGGAAACTATGTGGAATTAGTACATCATAAAACATTTTCGTGGGTTATTGCCTATATTCAAACATGGAATAGAAGACTGCGTGGCGGTGCACACTGTTGACCCCTACACTCCACTTGGGAGGTTGAAGCAGGAGGATTACAGCAAGTTCAAGATCAGCCTGGGCTGCCAAGTGAGCTCCAGGCCAGCCTGCACTGCTTAGGAAGATATGGTCTCAAAAAGGCAAAAATAGACACACACACACACACACACACACACACACACACACACACAGAGACAGAGGTGTAAGGCAAGATAGTTTAAAAATCTCAAAAGTCATCTATGCACAAAGGTATTGCTTTTTGAAATTCATTTTCAAATACTTTTGGTATATGCACATAAGGGTAATAAGTAGATTATGTCTGTTATCATTGGTCATAATCTCTTAACTCCAACCACTGCAGTGCAGCAAAAGAATCAATAGGTGTCAGCAGGGAAAGAACTCAAGGATTTTCATTTCTTACTTAGATTCCATCTGAAATTCTACAGTGCAAACATTGAAAAACATAGATAACAAGAAATATGTTATTATCATAATACCAAAATCAAATTGTGTATTTAGGTATTATAACAAAAATTAAATGGCTCAATATTGTACAAAACATAAATTTAAGTTGTAAATATTGGTGTAAGATTTTATCACTTGTAATAGAAGTATTTTAGCAAATTAAAGTCTCCATAGATTCCATGTATTTATTTAACATTTTCATCAGAAATTCACCAAGCGTATGGATTTAAATACATAGATGACTTTTATTGCTCTACTCTGTTGTTTTAGGGTTTGCCAGGCCCCCCTGGTGAGAAAGGAGAAAATGGTGACGTTGGCCCGATGGTGAGTGGCGGGCGCGGAGCATGGCTGCGTCTCTAGCTGGCGTAGCCCAGCGTCCGCTGGCAGGCTGTGTGGTCCTAGGAGTGTGACGCTTTCTGTGCTGACCTGTTTTCTTTTTGTCATTCAGTGATGATCTGGAAATCACTAAATATACTATTAATCCCTTTAGTGAATATCCTTTCTTCAGTTCACTTCATTGGTTCTTATATTGTTACTTTTATCTTCAGTACGTTATTGAAATATGTATACTGAATTTCCACATGTTATTTCTTAGTCTTTAGCTTTGGACTTTGACATGGAACAGGTAAATAATATGTCATATGCTCACGAGATTTCTCTAAGTAGAAAGTATTCAGAATAAACTCTTGTTTTTTCAAACAATATAAATTTAACAAGGAACTCTATTGTTATTAAAATGCTATGAATTGAAATTACTTGTATTAACTCTGTCTTTCTACTCTAATAATACTTCACATCAAATTTGAAATATACTTCTTTGCTTATTAAATACTATTTTACATAAAAATAATTTATCAAAGTAATGGAAATCTATAGTGAAACATAATGAACACATTTCTTAATTGCTCTTTCCTGTCTGTCTCCATTGCCCCAAAGTTTTAGGTCCTTTACTGTTCTCACACTTTTGTGCTGCGTTTTTTTGTCTTTAAGGACCACACCTAGATTTTACCTTTCAGATAAATCTCATACTTAATAAAGCTAATTGTAAAGAATGCATAATAAATGTCGATTCAGACGATGATGAACGCTTTCAGGTAGCATCTGATGCAGAGCTAGCTCCTTTCTTGCCGTGGCTGCTGAGGTTCTAGGAATCAGAGATATATCTCACTGATATCTTCTTAATTTGGTCATAATAAGAACAACTAGAAAGCTTTTCTAGCATGACATCAGGCCACGCTGAGGCCTTCTACAAAACCCTAATACGCTATCATCACTGCACACTGTTGTAATTACAGCCTTCAGGGAAGGAATTACAGCCATTGATAGTTTATAAACTGTGCCCCGAGGTGATTTTATTGCACACACAGGGAAGAGAAACTTTGGGGAGTGCAACTACATAACTACTATTTCCAATTCCACGATGTAGAACTGAAGAATTTACATGCATATACACACATGCACACCACAACCCAAGTTACAAATAAATAAAACAGTGATCCTATTAATTCTACTAGTCCCTACTTTGTTTTTTATACTTTCTATTGTATTCTATCACTAGGATTTCCAGTTGTTTTATGAATACCTTATTCTAGACATTACCCATAGGATTCCTTGTCAAGCTGTGTTTTTTTCTGAAGTACTATGTCCTCATAGCTATGTGAAAAGGAATTTTTAATAGCATGTTGTTGTATTTTTAATAATAACGTATAACCCTTATGGGCTTCACTGACTATGATTTTACTGGCTTTATTTTTTTTTTAGTTTTCTTAAAAATAGAAATGCATTTCACTTTTACCCTTGTAAACTTCATTATTTATCTTTTATAGGGTCCACCTGGTCCTCCTGGCCCAAGAGGCCCTCAAGGGCCCAACGGAGCTGATGTAAGATTGGGAAATATACGCTAATTACTTTGAAGTTGAATTTAAAATTTGGTGTTATTTAATGGCAGATGTTTCCTGAGATATCATGCAGATAATTACGCAATTTCTCAGTGTTAGAAGGGCAAGAGAACTGAAGGATTATCTATTCACTCGCCTTAATCATAGAAGAAACAGACTTTGTAGGGAACAAGTCAGTACAAATATAAAATAGACATATTTCGCATTCAGATATATTCATTAGTGAGTGAGAAATATAATTTGTATATGATAAGCCAGACTGGTCTGGTGCCTAGACTTATCACACGTATGATAATTTTTCAATAAATAGTTGAATTCTTGAAACTTGAGTTCATCTCTCAAGACGGCCTGATGAGATGGTCTGTCACTGGCGTTGTGCTAGTGCAGATCTGTCCTCCAAGCACTTTGTCTGTTAACTGTGCCGAAGCTGGTCCTTAGGCTTTGCCTGTTCTGTTTTCAGCATGTAAAATCTGTGGGAGCAATATGTGAATAAGTATACCTCTCACCATGTAAAATGTTTCCTCTCACTTGTATAAAAAAGCTATTTTCTGGACTAGAAAGATAGCTCAGTGGTTTAAGCACCTTCCCGGCAAGCGCAAAGACCTGGGCTTGATCCCTGGTACTGCATGCCGTGCTGGCCTCTCCTGTACCCGACGAGCCAGCCTCCAGAACCAGGTGTGGTGGCCCGTGCCTGCAAGCCCAGCACTGGGGCAGCTGAAACAGGAGGATCAGTAGGAGTCCCAGCTGCATAGCGAGACGCTGTACCAAATATGTTTTTAAAAAGGCTATTTTCCATGCCTGAAAATTGGTCCAACCTTGTACGGCTTAGAAAAGTAATGCCATGTTTATCTTATTGTTATGATTAGTGAATTTCTAGACTTTGCAGATCTCCTGACTCTGTATTTTGGTGATGAGAATGTGTATGTGCCCTTCACGTGGCTGGCTTTCTCATTGCTCTTCTCTGCCTGCTTCTAATTCTGCCAGGCCCGAATAAGTGTTTTATGAGGTATTGGCCTAAGAAAGCTTTGGTGTTTTAGTTCACCTTAAATAATTCAAGGCAAAAGCAGTTTTTATAAGGGGAGGTGGCTTTTTCCTATGGATTATGTAATTCTTTCCTAGTGTCATAATACTGATCCACTCGTAAAGCTGCCTAAGGAGTCCATGCCCAGGGAGATTGCAGTCATGGTCCCGTGTTCAACAGGCATGAAGAACACTGGAAAGTTTCCACTATTGTTTCAGTGCTCATGTTTAAAAATTAATGTGATAGAGTAATTATTTGCATAAATGCCTTTGATAATTCAATAAAAGTCATCTTTATATTTTAATGTTCCAATTATTCAAAATATTCATGTATATATTCTCTTTTTAAAAAATCTAGTTTTATGTTCATTAACTTTCTGTTTTTTTGGAAGAATAAGGACAACCGTACAACTTTCTAAATTGCAGGGACCTCAAGGACCCCCAGGATCTATTGGCTCAGTTGGTGGTGTTGGAGAAAAAGTAAGAAAATCAATGATACAAAATTTGACATAATAGAAGCTAATGTCTTCTGCCAATGTTTACAGTATTTCAGGTGTTTCTTGGATCAACATTTTCTAAGACTTTTTTCCATTTGGTTATGTGACTTATCTCACATTTAGTACTTACACAACTTAAAATGATTTTTAAGACACCGTTCTTTTAATTGCAAGACATCAAACAGAATGACACATATAAATTACTTCCTTTAATAGCTGTGTGATACTTATGTTGTCATTATACACTTTTGTAAAGTAGAAAAGTAGAAACTTAAAAAATTGTAGTAACCAAGCTGAGAGTGGTGGTGCACACCTCTCATCTTAGCCCTGCTACGTCTGAGGCAGAAGGATCGCAAAGCAGGTCCATCTTGGAAAGAGCTGCTTAAAATACAGCAGTAGAAAGGACGAGGGTGAAGGTCAGTGGTGGAGTGCCCTGGGTTTCAGTCCTCCAACACTTCAGAAAAGGAAGAATTTTAGTCATTTCATCACAGACTTTGGTAGAAGGTGATTACATTAGAATCACTAAAGTCATGAATGTGAGATGGAAGTAAAATGTACTTAGTACTGAAGAAAGAAAGTGGTTTGCTGCAACTAACTTACGGGGAAACCAAATCCTTTACAGAGCAGAGGAATGAGTCGTTGATCTTTTCATGCATTGGGTTGTGTTTTTATTACTAATACTATGACCTGTCTTTGACATTTTTCAAAATAGTTGGCTGATGGAATAATATCTGAGTTCAGATGAACTTTTCTGGAGACAATGATTTCATCCCAATGTGCCTCTTTGTTACATTAAAATGTCAAAATTAGTTATTTCTTATTTCACTATTTCTGATCAGGTATTAAGAGAAATTGCAAGAAAATTAACATGGATGTTTGTTTGATTTTTAAATAATTTATTTACTAGTTGTAAGGGGGGCTGGGAGATGGCTCAGTGGAATAAGTGCTTCCCTGGCAAGCACAATGGCCTGAGTTCAATCCCCAGTTCCACCAAAAAGAAAGAAAGAAAGAAAAAAAAAAAGTAGGATCACTAGTTGTAAGGAAATTATGTGCTATAAAATATTCAGAGAAAAAAATAAAGTTTCTGAATTCGATATTTATTAAAGTGGTGCAAATTGTGTCATACTCTAAAGGTGATTCAGCTTCTTAATACAAACATTTTTCATGTATTTTAATTTGTATTCAAATTCATTGATTTTAATTAAAAATTTAACCCTACACAAAATAGATAATGAAATTAAAATGTTATTTGAACATTTACTTCTTCCATTGCACTCACATTTTTCTATTACCATTATCCCATATGATTAACTACCAAAATTCTTCATTACAATTAAATTACAATTTTCTTTTTCTTTAGTCCCTGTTTATAGTCTTTATTTTTTCTTGTACTAGGGAATGATCCTAAAACCTTTGGACTGAGCTACATTAGCATCTCCAGCCCTTTGTTTAGTATTTATTTTTTATGGGATATTTCTTGTTTGCTAAATTGCCCAGGCGAGGCTAAAATTTGCAGTCTTTTTTCTCAGTTTCCCAGAGTGCTAGAACTACAGAAGGTTTGTTGTTACCACATCCAGCTAAGTTAGAAAATGTTTGAAAATTACCTATTTTTTAGTGCAAAAACAATGTTATTTGTTCATATTCTTTAATTGAAAATTTTGTTCTTAAGCTGACCTGGTGGTTGGATTGGGTTTGAAAACAACACTTACCATTGAATTCATTTGCCCTGGAAAGAGCAGTGTGGGGCAGCCTCCAAGCGCTTCCTGGTGATCAGTGCTGTCAGCCTCATACAGTCCCTCGCCTTCTGCCTCTTCCCCGCAGCACTGCTGCTGTCCGAAAGTTGTGGGAATGAGCCTTCAGTTTTCTGGCCTTCTGAAGCTTCTCTTAAATGACTCTTAGAGATTTGAAGTACAGAGGGAATGATTTTAAGTACTTCATTTGCATTTTTCATGCTGTTTCTTCTGAAAAATTCTTAAAGACAGGCCCTGGTATCAGATGTCTATTTTGAGAAAGTCATATTGTTTTCATTTAATTTGAAGCCTCTGGAGTGACACCAGTTTGGTGTCTCATGAGGATGATTTGATCAGATTGATAATCTTAACTGTTTCCTTTTCAGTGTGCTCGATTTGAACTTAGTTAAATGACACAACACAACATTCTCATCTTTCTTTTATTTTCTTAACTTATTAATGTAACAAAGAGCAGGATAGAAATATAGTCCTAATGTTCTTTTTTAGCATCCGCTGTAATATATTTGCTATAGGTTATAGAATTCTGATATCAGCTTGGAATCTGACTGAATTTTAGGAAATTCGTTTATTTTGGATTACCTATTAATTTATTTTCTGTTTTGGAAAATGTACTCCATTTGTTAGCAATGAAAATAGAAGAAAGTAATATCCTTAATCATGCTGCAGTTTGTGCAAATAGATTTAACTTATTTTTCACATAGAGCTTATTTGCTGTGTCTATCTCTGAACTTCATAAATGTCTTCAAAACAAGAAATATTCAAAGACAATTCCTTAATTTTTAATACATTTTTGTAATTCTGGACATACAGATTAGTTTCATTCTTTTTTTCCAAACAAAGTTTTATGGAAAAAACCATGTTGCAGAGTGGATTAAAATGGCCCAATGGGGATGGCCAGATAGCTCAGCAGACTAAAGCACCTGCTTAGGCAGGCGCAGGGACCGGAGTTCGATTCCTTGCATGCCATGCCAGCCCCACCTCCAGGGCGTGCTGAGACAGAGACTGGACATGGTACGCCTGTAATCCTAGCTCTTAGAGGCCGAAAACAGGAGGATCACCACAAGTCCGATCTATGTACTGAGACCCTGTAGACCCTGTACTAAATACATAAAAAAAGATTTCATTTAAAAAATGGCCAGATGATAAAGATAAATTTATGATCTACTGCTTCCTTCATGTTTTATGTAATATAGTTTATAGCAGTTACTGTCATAAAATGAGAATTGAGTGATATTGTTGATATTAGAAATACAGATTTATTTTATACAATATGTCCTAGCATTGTTTTATTTTTCATTTTGACCTCACTTTCAAAAGATTTGAAATGACACAAGTTACAAAATATTATTTGAAGTAATTGCTATTTATGGGGACCTGCTGGTTAGCTCAGTTGTTTAAGCACCTGCTCATGCAAATGCAGTCAGGAACAGGATACCAGCGTTTGATCCCCACCTCCACCTGCCTTAGCAGACCTGCCTTTAAGGCAGCCTGACCCAGCCAAGAAAAAATAATCCATCTCAATTTGTGGGGCTGATGAGATGGCTCAGTAGAATAAGCACTTGACTGGCAAGCACAAGGGCCTGAGTTTAAGCCCTGGTTCTGAAAAAAAAAAAAAAAAAAAAAAGAAAGAAAGAAAAGAAAAAGAAAGAAAGAAAAAAAAGAAAAATGCTATTTATATTGCTCAGACTTGATTGCAATATACATAAATGTAATTTACCATATACTTTTGGACAGTTTAAAATATTGTTTTTAAAATAGAAACTTTTTAGTAAAAATATTCTTCTTTAAATGTTTCCCCATTTCAAAATGGAAGAATGTTTTCAGAATCTCTGTTAGTTTAAATTTATAATTGATAAGGATGACAAGGTAACATAAAGTCACATGAAGCCTCAGTAAGAACAATAGTTCTTTTTTCTTTTCCTCTGGTTGCAGTTGCCTGCAGTATTACCCTGGTTAATGTGTTACATAACAAAATAGCTTAACATTCTCAATGGATGTCCTATAGTACTAAATAAATATTATATGTGTTCATATATAATATTTTTAAGATGGACATGTTACAGTTGATTTGAATGACAGACTACTTGTTGCATTTAAGCAATATAAATAACAGTTGAAGAAACGCTGCTTATATATCATTCCATCATCCAAAGATAGATGATTGATTTCTTTCTTCAAAAATAATATAAAAGGAATATTTTATTTGTAAATCTTATACAGAACACTAGAACTTTCTGCCTTTCATTCTGAGAGAAGAAAAAAAATTTTGCACAGTAATACTGTTAATACATTTCTGGAAAATACTTGTCTTCCACTGTTGTGTACATAATTTAAGAAGTTAAAATGGATACACATTCTTAGTGAATAAGGATTATTGTACACACAAATCTCTTCTCAGGGACTATGCTTATATTTAACATAATTTATTTCAAACCAGTTAAGCAGGAGTGAGCTTGTGCCAGAGATACTGAAAATGTCAGAGTTAAAAATTAAAGCATCTTGTACTATGAATAACCACTAAGAAGACAACAATATGCAATTTATTGATTATTGAAACTATCCTACTAATCGGTTTTAAAACTGTCTCATTGCTATTTGTTTCTCAATAAAATTATTTAAAAAAAGAAACAACCAGAATGACCATCAACTGAGGAATAAATTAAAAAAGATGTGTTTTTATATAGTGGAGGATAGCCATAATGAAGAATAAACTTGAGTTTTTTTATAAGTAAATGGATATAACTTGAGACCATACTCATAATGAAATGAATAAGACCCAAATATGTAAACGTCATATTGTCTCCTCAGTGTGAGGAACTGAATAAGTAAGTAAGATCCAAAATGTATGCTATATCTTGTGAATTGGGCAGAAACTGTTCAAATAAAAGACTAACTGTCATGGTTAAAAAGGGAAAGAATGAAAGGGAAGAAGAAAAAATATATATATTCATAAATAGATAGTTGAGGTAGTCATAGAGCTAGTTTCTCTCAGTTCATTGAAAGGAAGGCCTGTGCTAATGTTGCTTGGACATTATTTTATGCCTCTAACTTGTATCCTGAGTAACTACGATGGAGACAACAGTATGCGATGTATTAATCATTGTGTAATTCTCTTACTAAACCATTTTGAAACTGTAAAAAATGAAATTAAAGGATGGATAAGCCTCATTATTTTTTTCACTTTGTAGCAATTCCCATTTCAAACTGGTAACACGGATGATTTGCACGCAGTGCATTCATGTGTTCCGTTACTTCAGTTTAAGTGTCGCTTGAACACATTGTTCCACTTTTTATGATTTCCAAGTAGGCGACCTTCGCTATGAACTTTAGTAGCTAAAACTTCCAGTGGCGGGTTTTATTAGTTTGCTAGATTAGGGACTTTTGCCATCTAAACCCAGAGCTTATAGACGCTGTCAGTTATGACATGTATGCCCTCAAATGCAGCAGTTGTTAATATCTCACTGCCTTCGATGTTTTACTCTTTGTTCTTTAGATCTCTACTAAACATTTTATAATATTAACATAATAATTACTTGATGATGTATTAAAGAACAAGAAAATTCATATTTCGTAAAGTAATTTGAAATATTCAATCAGTAAGCCTGGCTGTTATGTGAATATTGAGGCTGTCTTCTGCATGTCGCATATTTTCTTAGGCAGTGTGCAGCTGTCTGCTGCGAGGGCTCACCTGTTAACCTGGTCAGTGTGCTGGCCGTTCCTGGGCACTGTGGCATCCGGGGTGTCTGATATTCTCATTTCTCACCTGTTTATTACAAAGACTGAAGTCAGTTATACCAGAAGCTCCCTTTTTTAACGATGTTTTGATGCCTTTTGAACAAAATAATAACTCAAGGACAATCTAAAATGGGGCGGTAATAGCTGAAGGCAGTTTTGCAAACACTTCTGTGTTTTAATCCTCATTTGAGTTTTTCTTTTCTGTAGGGTGAACCCGGAGAAGCAGGGAATCCAGGGCCACCTGGTGAAGCAGGCACAGGGGTAAGTGCTGTCTCATTGTCCGCATCGGGTGCCAAATTAGGAGTTTCTTTCAAAGCATTTTAAACATGTGATTTTAATTCCTACCTATGATCTGCTTTGTCACTCACTTTGCAATTCATGGAAGGTAATCATAATGCAGAACCTGTTGTTTAATCACTGCGTACCTTTACATATTTAGATTTGCATACAGATTTTAAAAATATATTTGCATAAGTAAAAGCATTAAAACTATAAGCTCTTCACTAACTTTGATAAATTTTACATAAAAGACAAAATAATCTTTGCTCCATCTAATAACTATTTATGAATTGTGCTAGACTTGCTGTGGTCTATCTCAGATTTGCTTCAACCAGATAGGAGTTTGTGTCTCCCACTCAGCCTGGCCCAGGAAGCGTTGGGCAGTGTTCAGAGATGTTTCAGCTGACCTAAGAGGGAGGAGTGGTCGCTGTTGGCATTTAGTTAGTAAAGGCAGCGGATGCTGTTAAGCATTCTTTGAGCGCAAGACCCACTAATACAGCAAAGAATTGCGTGGCCCATGTGCCAGTGAGCACTGTTACTAATGCTAGTAAGGTACCTTTTTTCCTTATACAGGGTCCCAAGGGAGAGAGAGGAGAGAAAGGAGAAGCGGGCGCACCTGGCGCTGCTGGACCTCCTGGTGCGAAGGGGCCGCCAGGCGATGATGGCCCCAAGGGCAACCCGGTGAGCACCTGTGGCCATTTTATTTTGGACCTTCTGATAGAAGGACAGCAACCATGATATCCTGTACCATCATTAGTGCGGCTGGCTTTTCTTCATTTCATATATTCACAAGCATTTTAATGCCTTTGGCTTGACTTTAACCTCTTAAATTTCAAAATATCACAGCATTATGAAAATTTATTTTTAATTTATTTTCCTTTGAACACATCATTTCAGGGTCCTGTTGGTTTTCCCGGAGATCCTGGTCCTCCTGGGGAGCCTGGCCCTGCAGTAAGTATCGTGGGAAAAAGGACCCATGTGGGGGGCACTCCCATGTCATCATTTATAATGATTAGACAAAACTCTTAAAGGAACAGCAGAAGAAGACAGTAGTAATCACTCCATAAAAGTCTGTTAGATCTTATTGCATGAATATGCACTTCATCTGACTTAATTTTTCAGACTTCAAGTTGTACAAACAAGTTGTTCAAGTACTAACATTATTATTTTAAAGTTACAGGATTCTTGCTTTCTTCTTTGTCATTTTCATAATATGCACACTATGTCAAACCACACCATGCTTATTTGCAGCGAAAGGATGCATTGGCCTTGCATGCTAATTACATTTTTTCCTTTGCTTCTGTAAAATACACTGTGTGTTTTCAATTGATTTAGTAGCAGTTTCGTTAATATTCATGGAAATAGTGAAATCACCATTCTTTAGAAACTGCACAATAATTTTATTCCTCCATCTGCTAATAGTTTATCTCAGAACATACTAGGATTGCCTTTTGAAGCTTTTATTCCCTGATAAAAATGACATAGAGGGAGAAATAGCTAAGTTCATTTTCTACTGCTGATTGCAGGGTCAGGATGGTGTTGGTGGAGACAAGGGTGAAGATGGAGATCCTGGACAACCGGTAAGCAAGAGCAATAATTCGTTTTAATCTTAAGTGACTTTCAAGTTATTTAACAGAAATAATTTAAAATGATCAACCTTTCAATAGTACCGCTGAATTTGCTGACATTTTCCTGAAAATATATTTGAATTCCAATCTGAAGTCAATCTTTCATGGAGTGTTTCTTGATGTGAATTCAAATATAGTATATAGTCCAGGTCTTCCTAATGAAATTCCAGTTACATCCTACCAATGATATTAACATGTGTCCTTTGTGTTACATAGAAAATTATATTTAAAATCTGGAAGAAAGGAAGGAAGGAATGAACGAAAAAAGGAAGGAAGGAAAGAGAGAAATAGAGAGAGCAAGCCAATGTGGTAGCTCCTCATTGATATAAATTATGCAACTTGTGAGCCTAGATGAGCATGGCATGGTGTGGTATAACCTGTTCTCCTGCAATTGATAAATGACAACTTGTGCTCTGCCTGTGGGTTGATTAAGGAATAAGAGAGTGGCCAGGCCAACTCCATGCCAAACATAGTTTTATGTTTAGAGCTGTGTCCACTATGTTTGCTGTTGGAGATGTAGGCTTATTTTGTGTAGATAGTACTGGTAGATCTTATCACAGAACTTTCTGTACAGCTTGGCAGAAAAATTATAGTGTTGTGCCAGAAAAAAATATAAAGGTAATAGTTTTGTGGTTTCACAAATTTATGTGAAATAGAAAGATTATTACCCACATGGATTAATTGGTACAGATATTGGGTGCTTGTCAGGAACAAGTTAGCATTTTTTAAAAAGACAAGAGTTTTACATAGTAGGAATATCAGCTTACTTCCTTTCAGCTGCAAACAAAGCGAGCATATGAGTCTATAACTCTGGTTGCCTAGAGGAAGTTTAAGTGTCTGACTTATTAGGAAAGGTCGATGTGGGTAAGTGAGAAAAAAGTCTCCGTTCAGATATTGAGGAATTATGTAGTTTATACAGTCCTATCCAATTTCTTAAAAAAATTTTGCACATTTTATAGGGTCCTCCTGGTCCATCTGGTGAGGCAGGCCCACCAGGTCCTCCTGGAAAAAGAGTAAGTTTCTTTAATCTTTGACTTCAAATATCTGTTTATTATTTTATGTAGGTAAGCTATAGACAGGAAGTGCTAAAAGTGATGACAAATATTAGGAAGTACTTTGGTCTTTTTTAAATCAGTATATAATTATAATACAGAATAATGTGATTCATTTTGATAAATTGGTACATGTGTATAACAAGTTTTGATTATATTCATTGACTTTATCTCTTCTTCTTGACTCAGCCTCTTTTCTTCCCATTTCTAAAGTTAACATTAACTGTTTTCTTAAATGTATCAAAATACTTTCAAAAAAATAACCATGTAACTGTCACAGTAAAAATGTGAAAAGCAACTCCTACTTAGGGAGTTTTCCTCTTTTTACCTTTCTTCTGTACACACACTGCAGACTGCTATAGGAAATTTCAGTGGTCTCCTGAAAATCAACTCCTACTTTGTATGTGGGGATGAGATGTCAGAAGCCCACTTTTAGCTTAAAGCGTTGAGAAACCTGGAATTAAAATCAGTGCAACAAGATGTGTATTCCATTGCCATTTGTATATTGCAGGAGCATGAATTCAGCAGAATAATCCAATATAGTCCAGTAGCCTGTAATAGTACTGCGTTATCCCCATGACAGGCAATGTCAGAAGTTGTTGACTTGAGCCTTTTACAGCTCTGCATATTAATATGGCTTTACTTTTTATACTTTTCTGATGGATAGTTAAGAACAAGATAAAGCACCTGTACAACAAGAAATGTATCTTTCGTATCTAACAAGGTCAGTCAACTCCCCTCAGGACTTACCCTTAAACCCTATATAGCAGTTTATAGATCTTTTGTCAGTGCCAGCCATGTGGATGAGTCAAGGCCATTGCTTGACCAGTTTGCTCTCTGTGAAAGCCTGAGAGAATGTTTTCTCTCCATGTGATTCTCCTTAGGCACATTCTACATCACCAACTACTTTCCTCTGTGGCCCTATAGTCTCCTTGATCAGAAAATTGGGACACCCTGAGTTACAGGATGTTACAGTACAGGTTCCCTTATGTCCTGATTCCTCACTGACCTTGAAGGGCGAGGGCCAAATTGTTGGCTATCCTTGTAGCCCTTTCTTTTGTAAGTAAATAAAAAAAGGGGATATATTGAAACTGTCCTACCAATTTGATTTGAAACTGTCTCATTGCTATTTGTTTCTCAATAAAATTATGGAAAAAAGGGGGGGATATAAATGAAGGACCATTTTATAATAAATATATATATTTATTTATATACAAAATAGCATAGATATATAGCTACTTTCTCTAAGTTCAATGAGAAGAAAATTTTGAACTAATAGTGTTTAGACAAGATACCATGTCTGCTTTTTTTTTTTTTTTTTTTTTTTTTCTTTTTCTGGCAGAACTGGGGATTGAACACAGACCCTTGCGCTTGCTAGGAAAGCATTTATTCCACTGAGCCATCTCCCTGGCCCCATGTCTGCATCTTGTACTATGAATACTACAAAGACAACAGTATGCAATGTATTATTTTTCCCCATAATTTTATTGATAAACAAATAGCAATGAGACAGTTTCAAATCAAATTGGAAGAACAGTTTAAGTAATTCACACATTGGGGCTAGGGAGATGGTTCAGTGGAATAAGTGCTTCTCTGGCGAGCGCAAGGGCCTGACTTCAATCCTCGGTTCTGCAAAAAAATAAAATAATTCACACATTGCATGCATTCTTTCTAGTGGTTAATTGCTGTACAAGAT